GGGCTGGGGGTGGGGGGTCTGGGAGGGGGGTGCACACACTGGGACTGGGGGTGAGGGACCAGCTGGGAGATCCGGGGACATGGAGGGGACGTGGGATGGCAGAGTGCTGTGGGTGGGATCCAGGCTGAAAGCCCCAACTCCCCCATCCCTGGGCTGCTGAGACCCCTAACTCCCCCATCCCTGGGCTCCTGTTAACCCCCAACTCCCCCTTCTTTTGGGCACAGGACTTCAAAGAGCAGATCATCCACCACGTCGCCACCATCATCCTCATCAGCTTCTCCTGGTTCGCCAACTACATCCGTGCCGGGACGCTCATCATGGCCCTGCACGACTCCTCGGATTACCTGCTGGAGGTACAGCCCCCCCCAGCTCCCCCAGCCCCCTCCACGTCCCCTATCCCCCCCAGACTCACCCCCCTGTGCCCCTTTTCCCCCCCCCCAGTCTGCCAAGATGTTCAACTACGCCGGGTGGAGGAACACCTGCAACAACATCTTCATCGTCTTCGCCGCCGTCTTCATCATCACCCGCCTGGTCATCCTGCCCTTCTGGTGAGCTCCGGTGGGAATGGGGGCAACTGAGGCACGAAGTGGGGGCCCACGGGGGGTCTGGGGCTGGTTTCTGTCCCTAACAGGAGTGGCTTTTCCCGGCAGGATCATGCACTGCACGGTGGTTTATCCGCTCGACCTCTACCCCGCCTTCTTCGGCTACTACTTCTTCAACTTCATGATGGTGGTGCTGCAGTCGCTGCACATCTTCTGGGCCTACCTCATCATCCGCATGGCCCAGAAGTTCATAACTGGAAAGGTGAGGGGGGGGCTCAGGGACGCTGCCCTGGGGTGAGATGGAGACCCCCAGATCCCAAATCCCGGAGAGCCCTCGGTGGGGAGAACCCACCGTGGTTGTGCTGGGGGAAACTGAGGCACGGCAGGAAAATGGGAGAGCTGCCCCCTGAAGCTCCTTCCCTGTCCCCGCAGGTGGTGGAGGATGAGAGGAGTGACCGCGAGGAGACGGACAACTCGGAGGAGGAGGAGGAGGCGGCGAAGAACGGGCCCCTGTCCAACGGCCACCCCGTCCTCAACAACAACCACCGCAAGACCGACTGAGCGCCCCCGACCCAGAGCTGCCACCTCCCGCCGGGACCCCGGAGCGCCC